TCCGCATGCGTCGAGGTTTCCTTCTCTCTACCCTCGAGTTATTTTTTGAGGAGCTAGGAGCGACTGCTTCCTGTCCAATTCCCTTCCTCCGCGTTTCGTCTGCTGTTACATCTTCTGGCTTTGCTTTACGTCGCGTACACGGCGAACTTTTTTTAATATGCCAGGAAGAGGAGATAAAAAAGGCAGCGCGTTGTGCCACAACATGGGAATATCGTTCTTTCCTGGTGGGTTACAGAAGTGTCTTAGAGCGATGCACTAACGCTACTAACGTTTGTGTCTTCTTACGGATTCAATAAAACCTTTCAAAATTAAAAAAAAAAGGAGGGTAAGTCTTTTTAAATAGGAGGTAGTCAGACATTTTCCAAGAGAACGTTTTGAGCATGAAGATGTGGATTCATGAGATTCTAATAGTTCTGTGAAGTAATTATTTGGCATTAAAACAGCTTTTATTCCAGAACTGAAACTTCATCCAGCCAACTGTACTGGAAGAATTAGTCTGTAGGCACTCTCCAGTGAATTTTCTTGTAGATAGGGGATACTTTACTACTTACAGTAATAACAACTTTGTATATTGAAGAAAATCTACAGACATGATATAATTTTGAGAAGTGCAGTAGTCCAAATTAAATGCAGACATGAAATTAATTCAGAGAACAATATAATTACATGTCAAATCAGCTTAAAGGTGCTGAGTTCTTGTTGATCTAATTTATAGCCCCTGGTCGAAGAAATCCCTGCGTCTGTATTTATGCAATCCATGTCTGAATACATCTTTAAGTATGCAAGCCAGAGTATTTCGGAGAAGTCTTTGCATTATCACATCAGATGTGGTGTTTCCGCTAGACCTGTGGAGTATTTTAAGGAGTAGAGGGAGGAAGGGTTGGTGACAACTTAGGAGAACCTGGTACTTAAGAGTACCATGTGAGAGAGAGTTACTTAAAAAATGCAGCTGACATGGATTAACTACCGGAGGTTCCAGATTTCGTCTACTTTAGGCATTGTCACTTAGTCCCACCCTATTATATTCAGCTGTAATTACTACAGGGAGCTCAGAGCAGCATATTTGTTCACTTCTCCCTTCCGTGGGCACTGAAACCCCAAACCACCATAGGAAGGCATAAAATCTGATTGTGCAAACTCCTTCGCTTTGGGGTGTGTGGGGGTGTCACAGGGAAGGTCTCGTGGAAACGCCAG